ACTGGACTGAAAATGAGTTAAAAAGCATCAAACATCCAAGGAAGATTTTGGAAAACCTTTAGAGAGCCAGTAGAACTATTGTCCAAGACTGCTTTAAAAGAATACAAGAAAGTCCGGTTCAAGTCTAAGGGCTGTCTCAAAACCTTTGCACAGTACTGTACACAGTCCAAAATAAGGCTGAATGATAAGTTTCAAGTTTATCAGCATGGGAACCACCAATCCAGGGGCACCAACAAAGGCCTGTCAACTAGGACAGCCCTACAAATTCCAGTGCCTTAAGAAACTCAGGGTAGATTTCATCCACCTCAGGGCCCCTGAGAAGTTGCTTAACCACCTTAGTGACCTTGGCATGGTGATGGGCGACTCATCCTCCTTATCCTCCACAGAGGACTTGTCCATGGGATTGAGGAAGTCCTCGAAAAATTCCTCCTGGCAATAGCCCCCCCACCCACACTGGACTGAACAGCAAGTGGATCCCTTCTCAGATGAAATAATGTAAGATGCTTTATATCCTGAGTCTGAAGATACAGACACAAAGTTAAAATTTGGGGTACAGGTCAAACACAATGACTACAGATCACTACTGTTCACCCATGTGTTTAAATAAAAGGAAGAGGGTTTCTGTTATGTTTCAGTTAGTACATCGAAACATGCAGCTTCATCTGATTCTGCCCAATTTGCCAGTTTAATAGGTGAGACCAATTTCTCAGAGTCAGTTTAAAATAGGAATTTTTTAACCTTAGATATATATTTCTAAGTGCATCACTGATATCATAATGGATACTTGACTTGCTCGCTTTATTTCAGAGACAGAGACGATAAAAATGAACACGTTTCCATGTCTTACTTTATGGACCAACAACAAACATTTCTGTATTCAGTAATCAATGCAAATTATTAGTTTATGAACAGAACCAAACTGGACAAAGAGAAGAGCTGAGGAGGACCTGCTGCAACATCTCCATGACAGCTGATATTCACAGCTACATGACTCACATGACATGATTACAATCATACGCACAGTTTGTCAGAACACCACAAAAAGGACAGGGCAAGCTGTACTTTACTAGACAGTATAGTTTTAACAATCAACACTTTAACTTTTATAGACTGATGCATTGTATGGTTTTAATTCCATTTTTCCATCGTATTCTGCCCATCATCGGGGGGCTGGAGCGAAGCAGAGTACGCGCTAGCCAGCTCACCAGTCTGTTGCAGGACTAACACAGAGAGACAGACCATTCACATAATTTAGACTCACTAGTGAACCTAACCCTACTAACTGCCTTTGTCCCACAGTCCAAAGACATGCAGTACCCAGAGAGAGCCCACGCAGACACTAAAAGCACATGCAAACTTTACAGAGAAAGGCCCCGACCAGATGGTGGAGTCGAATTCAGGAGGTAGTTGTTAGCAGTGCGCCGCCATGGGTATAAAAGCAAAATTTAAACAATTAAAACAGCCATGACTAAATTGACTCTAGCTAAGCCTGTCGGGTAAATAACAAGATTAAATGCGAAACAGTTAAACTGAAATAGAACTCCAGTTTTAGACCTACAGTTTTACAGCTGAGCCACAGCGTCTCCACTGCCTACATGAGCTGTGGCCTGAGCTGCCAGTCATTTCACAACATCCTGCTCAGTCTTGACAATCACTCTGTTCAGTCCACAGCACCAACTCTTTAAGAATCCTAATTTAGTGACAGAGTCCAAGATGAGTTCTTTACAGCAGCATCAGTCAAAAAGTTTTGACTGCCATTTCACTGTGAACTTTAATGATGAAAGAAAGACTCTACAAACTGCAGCTTCTCCTTTATATAGTAACAAAAATCTGCATTGTATATTGTCTTTGATAACTTGCTGGCCACATATTCATTGTTAATGCAATCAGGCATGCCCTTAACCTTCAAATCGCCTACAAATAACATGGTAGCTGCTAGCTGGTGCTGACAAACAGGTTGGGAGTGGGAGGGATACTTCCTGTTTCTCATGAAAATGTGAAAAAATGTGAACCCTTGGGAGGAAGAGAAGACCAGACATATGGACACATTTTACGTGCTTTTACCGGGGAAAGTTACGCCACACGGTTTACAAACTTTTACAGTCATAAGATTATCGCAGACTAACCGTAAAGTCGATTCAGCTGACTAAAATATAGTCGAGTAAAACTAAAATAATGCCTAAATTATGACAAAAACTAAATGATCTTTAGTCAAAAGCTGAGGCTGAAACTAAATCAGAATGTGCTGTCCACTGGCACCTATTGTCTCAATGATTACTCCACATCTGTTTAGCTGTTATCTGTATCCATTTGGGGCAAGCACAAGGCTCTCTTTAAGGTGTGTGTGTCGTTTTTCCAACTACTACTACTGCTGCAATGAAGTATCAGGGTTTTTAATACAAGGTAAATGAGCAGGCAGATTCACAATAAATTCAAATGCTAAATTTATAAACTGGAAAAGATGCTTCAGTCTTAATCAAATTATTTTCTGCACCCTTTTCCAAATTCTAACAGTTGTGCCACATCGTTTGCTGCACTGCTCCTACAGAGCCAGTTTTACTTACTAAGGAGGGTGAATACAACAGAAAATAGCAATCCATGCATACTAAAGGGTTCTTAAATCTCAGTTTAGTTTTTAAGAAGATTTACTGAGACTACACCATCATGCTGTGGAAAATGAAAATGAAACCCAAATGAAAAGTTAATTTTCTTTCTTTATCCTTGTTTAGTCAGGACTCCAGATTTTCATTTTGACTTGGCAGGGCGCTGTAAACAGCCAGAGGCAGTCAGTGAGAGTGGTGTGACTGATTTAAGGGGGATCTAAGCCTGAGAGAATCCTTAAATTAGAGAAACAACAGGACTTTGGTGTAAAACGTTTGTGCCCGGTGAAAAGTCTCAAGAACATGGGACGTGATTATTTTTAAAGCTTTTTAAAATCTAAGTAAGAACATGGTTTGAAGATAAACTTCATAAATTGTGTTTCTCAGGCCTGAAGTGGTTGTTTTGGTTGTCAGTTACTATATGGACCAACGGATATGGAAGAGTTCCTTACTTTGTTCCTCATTAGTTTACAACTCATAGACGTTTTTCACGTGGTGAGTCTGAAAGCACAACACTGTCGTGCCTCTTGATTTTGGTAGCAAAAAAAAAGTGAGGCTGAAAGATAAAAGCTGAAACAAAAAAACAAACACTGGGATTTTCTGATACATTTTATTAATGCTAGTTTTAATGTTGTCCCATTTACAGACTGGTCTGTTACAGGGCTTCTGTGGAACCTTCTGTAGAATTTGTATATTTTGCATCCCGCTCTTAGCATCATTCTATCCGTCTGTCTATGTTTCTCCTTATCTGGGGCCAAGTCACAAATAAGGAGAAAGGCCCAGACCCCATTCTCCCAAACTACCTCCTGAAATGTATTTGGAGGAACAAACTCCTCCTTGTGGGGCAGCAGCTTGTTGGCTGCCTCCTGACGAAGCCAACAAAAGCACTTCTGAGATTCTCAGAGTACAGATGAGATTCTGAGGGCACCAGTTTGCCACCTAAATACGATATGCCTCAAAATTCTGGCCCTGAAAACTATGAACAGAATTTATTAATAAGGACAGCCCTGGCATAGAACAACACCCACCAAGAATGAGTCCGACTTCTTGCTGAGCAAAGCAGAGCAAACTCCCATAGAGCCTCAAATATTCCTTATATTCCTGACGGGGCCAGGTACAGCACCGTGGAAAACGAGTGGCTAGCCATCCAGATGTCAGACTCCCTTAGCTATTACCTCCTGGGCCTCCCCTTCACCCTCTGTTCGGACCACGCTCTGCTGCAGTGGTTCCATTGCATGAAGGATGCCAACGCCCGGATCACACCGTGGTATTTGGCTTTACAGCCTTTTAAGTTCCGAGTGGTCCATGGGCTGGGGGTGCAGACGGTTGTGGATGACTTCCTCTCTCCTCCTCTCTGACACCTTTATTACTATATGCAGTATTGTCTGCTTTTTATACTTATTGGGCTACTTGCTTATTATAGGCTTAAATATATATAGGCTGTACAGTACATAAGATTAAAATTTACATTTTTTTATGTCACTGAAATGTTTTATTATTTGAGTTAAAGCCAAAGAGAAGGTTGCAGATAATGTTTACATGAAACGTGTGTATACTTACTGCATCTGGTTTATTTAAGCAGGCATCATATGTTGAAATCTTCAGACTAATGTAGATTATGCATTTCTAATTTATTATTTTTTTGTAATTTTACCAATTTTGTTAATTACCACAGTCATACCTTTTAACTTAATTCTTGTAGATGTGATATAATTATAAAAACATTCATGCCATTTTCCCCATTCAACGTCTATAATTACACAAAATATCCATTAACTAATGAAAAAACCCAATTACAGAAACTTATTTTACTGTCATTTTTGTGTCATTTTACACCCAGTGTATCAATTTTATGTATGTACAGCATAAAACTACAAGTTAAGTTTTATCTTTTAAATAAAAATAGCTGTAAAATTATGTTAATCTTGCAACCATAATTTTTAGTCTTTTTTGTATAAAAATAAATACATTTTCCATAAAAATGTGAAAATCATGTTTATTCACAGGTACCATTTTTTTTCGCAATTTTTTAATTACTTTTTATTTTACTTAGAAAAATTCTGTACATTTATATGAGATATTCTCTTAAATTACAGTTGTTGTTTTTACAGAGTAGATTTGGGGCCCAATAACATCTTTTAAACCAGCAGACGTATCACAGCTCAGTAATTCTCAGTAATGCCGTCCTTCAAGCTGTGAGTCTTCTTATTAACACAGATTTGACAGATTTGTTGTAACAATGCGGTAAACCGGGCCGTGAAATTACGGCTGGATGAAATGGTTTTCTGCTGCTTGGTTAACTCATGTTCATGTGCACGTGAGCGTACACACGCGGGACTGTAATGACCAATCAGGAGATATTGTAAACCCTCAGTTTGCTGAGCTGATGAGTGGGGTTGGTAGAGCCTCCACGCAGAGAGACGCTGCACACGCGGGGAACAGCACTCCGTTTCCGTTACAGTCACTGTCCTTCTGAACGCTCCGCACACAGCGGTAAGTGCCACCGGGTCTTTTTGCAACAGGTTGAGACAACACGGAAAGCTGAGGTGTTCGTGTCTATTTGAACACTTTGAGTTTGGTGTTTTTTCCACAGCAGGCTGAGCGTGGACCCTTTACAAGCTGGCAGAAGATGCGTGATTTAATTTGGGCTTTAGCCGCGAGCAGCAGGCACGCGCGCGCTCCGTTTGGCTGTTTGGTAACAGTGACGATAAATTCTGACCGTAAACATCAGCAGCTTTTATTTCGTCTGTTTGAATAAACACCAACAAAACGCGTTTGTTTCATATATTCTCCGCTTTATTCCTGTGGACTCTGTGTCCACGCTAGACCACAGATTTCATATCTAATGTAAAAAACCTTTAAAAAAATAATCTTGAATTGTTAGACTAATAGGATTAAACAGGTGTGGGTCACAGACCAGCGCAGTGGTAAACCCGACAGGTACAGTGAAATAAAAGAAGATGCTTCTGACATTGTTCTTTACGGTTCTGGAAGTTTGTTTAAGAATTGGTTTTCTGCTTCTTCATCTATAAGATGTTATTATCTATGTTAATGTGTGCTGAACTTTATGTTTAGTGACTGTGAACTTAGAAGTATAATATGTATATTATATATTATACCATATATAATCTCTGAAAGACACTACAACGTTAATGATGTAGCGTTAGTCGTTGTTTCGGTCATTGTGGTTTCTCAGGGCAGAAACTCCTACACAGACTGTAGCAGAGTCTCTATCACTACTTCCTCTGATAAAGTTCGGATCTAATTACAGTAGTTGGATTATCCCGCTCACTGAATACAATATTATTCCTTTGCTAATTTGCTGTGGATGTTTGTGTTACTAACCTCTCAGATGCATCCATCAGAGCACGAATGAGTGTGGACGTTATATCAAAAGCACTTGGAAAAAGAAAGTGCTTGTTTAATTGGGTGAATGAGGCAAGTTGTATAGATTAGAAAAGCACTATATAAGATCCAGTCCATCAGCGTTTGGACAGAAGACAATGCTAAATGTGTGTGTTTTCTCAGACTGAACATGTTGCCAGGTTTGGGTCACACAGTGGTATTTAATGATCGAGTAGATCAAAAATCATCTTGATCAGCCCTTTTCGATATAGAGCGCGTGTTTCTATGCTCCCTTTTCAAGCTGATTCATTGACTCAGCGTCTTCAGTGTATTCAGTGTGAATGTGTTTGTTGTACAAGACCTCGAGAACAGTTGGCTCCAGAGAACTCTGGAACAGCAGCTTCTAACACACTGCAGAGAGCATTCAGAACAGTTTTACTCTGACAGGTTTTCAGCTGCATCTGTCAGGACGAGAGCTGGTAAACTGTTGTTTGAAGACAACATCAGCTTTCTTCTTGGCTTGCTTGACAGCTCCTCCAATTACAGCTCTCTGGGTGTAGTATGCTGCGTTTGCAAATACTGCTGCTCATCAAAGCCAGATTAGAGAGAATAAAAAAGGATGCTGCTCTCTGTCCTTTACGGATGTGAAAATAGGATTTGAATCAGGTACAGCTCCTCAATGAAATTCTGTGTTGTACTGTCATTTTGCACAACCTCCTGAATATAACAGCAGAATACCACAACCGTTTTGTAACAAGAAAAGCTTGTCCTCTTGACCTCTGGTTTGGCATCTTGGGGAGATGTGAGCAAGCTGTTCAGCCTACCTCTGTCATATCATGTGGTAATAATGTTAGCAACAGTTCACCGGGAAGAGCCTTGAATAAACCTTCAACGATAAAAAAAAAACAGGTTTCACTTCAGCTCTTTCTATGTTATAACCTTGCTCTTCTCTGCAGCTGGCACAAGCAAGAGTGGCCCACGGACTGGTTGTACCTCATACTTTCTACATTGCCTTGCAACATAGCTATCTACACCATAAATCCCACGTTGGTACCGGGAGAGACTTGAAATTTATGATTTTCAGGGTTTTTATCGTTAACTCGGTTTCCCTGGGTCTTTTCCCATGTTGTAGTTGTGCGTCTTATTTTGAAAGAAATATTTATGCGTTACCATAGCGACCAGAGGGCATTAAGGGGCAGAGAGGAGGATGTTACTGTCAATGTTGTTGGTGCATTTCAGGAGGACGCTGCTAATAAAATTACACAATTACACAGTGAATTTATTATTATATTTACAAAATACCACAGTTTTTGTCTCATTCGTATCATTTTATTTTGTTGTGTTTATCCGCCACACCTTAAAGGCTGGTCCGTGAAAATATTGTCTGACATTACACCGATCTGTGGCACAAAAAAGGATGGAGACCGCTGATTTAAAAAAGTTCCCCTTAAAAATCTGTCAATCAAGAGTCTAAATTCAAGGTGCATATATTGTTTATTCATACTTCATACTCTCAAGGACAGTGTGTGTGTGTGTGTGTGTGTGTGTGTGTGTGTGTGTGTGTGTGTGTGTGTGTGTGTGTGTGTGTGTGTGTGTGTGTGTGTGTGTGTGACCCACGTTGTGAGCCTGGTTGACGTTTGATTTGTATGGACTTTGTCATTTAAAGGTTTGACTAATATCTCGATGAAGTCTCTGTAGCGGACACTTTTCCAATAAGCTCTTCACCTACCACTGTGTAAGTGAGAGAAGATTCAGTGTGTAGGGCCGTTCACGTGGCTTTGCTGGCTGTACTGCGACCTGTCCTTCCTTGTGTGTGTGTGTGTGTGTGTGTGTGTGTGGGGGGGTTACTCTATAAATTCGTACTGTATGTTTGTGTTGTGCTCTGTGCGTTTATTATATTTTCTCCCCCATCCCTTTCCCCCCCTGCCTGTCAGCTCAGACTTAGTCATGCAACATATATAATGTTATAACTGAAATAACACAAATGGAAATGAATAAATAAACAGGTAAAAGAAACACACGAAGAAGAGGAGCCTGCAAAGAATTTATAGACTCATCCTGGAGAAGCAAACAGTCATAATTCTGATTGCAAAAGCTTCCAGACAGGACAGAGAAGATCCTGTAATGTACTGCAGGTGTTACTGCAGGTCTTTTGTTGTACTAGTAATATATGCTGCCAGTTATCATCTGTAGAAAGAATTAAGAAAAAATTGTTATTGGGGGGTAACAAAAAAATTCCCGTTGGTGCTTGTCTAATTAAAAACCAAAGTGTTTATTTGAAGTCTGCTTTTAGGAGGATGTTGGCTGCTTGTTTCTGCAGTATGTGAGTAATAGTGGGCAGGAAGGCTCCACTAGCTTCTCCTCTTGTAATCTGAATGCAATTTCTTTATTATTTGTCTCCTTTTATAGCACTCACTTTCTGCACTGGCATTTGTGTATTTAAGCCCTGTGACATGATGTTTCTCCAGCACTAACCTGTCTGTTTCAAAGCTCCTCTGGATGAAAGAGGAAGCACATTCCAGTGTAACTGTTACTTTGATCATCACACACAGTTAAGCTGCTATTCACTAACAGTTACTTTAATCACTTAGATGCAGGCTTCTTCATCATCTCTTGATTTGGAATATCCAGATTGAGATGAGATTATGTGTGGTAAGCTGTGAATTTGTAACTTTTCTCTTTTAGTCAAGAAGCAATGAAGATATTAGAAGAAGAATAAAGTCATAGATGGTTGTTGGTTAGTTTGACTTCGATGTTTGCACATGCGCCGTACCCCTCGGTGACTGGTACACACTCCTACATACACTAGAATAGTTAGACAATGGGCAAATCCATTTGAGCGGTAAAACCTGAGAGCTCCAGGTTTCTTCACTGTGTAATAATGGCTGATGTCCAGTCAGAATCAATGAGTCTGTGTGTGTTCTCCACCAGGCTCAATTCAGGCTTATTCATATAGTAGCAACCTAATAGGACAAATGGAGGCTGCATTAGGCAGAGGACGTCAGAGAGAGGGCAACAGTGACCAGGACATTTAAAAGTTAATGACTTAATGCTGAATTTGTTCAGTTCAGCGGTGTCGTCTCAAAGCATTTTCAGTGTGCAGGAAAGGAAAACATTTTTACCTGACACGACTCTGTTCAACTGTATCAACACTGAGTTATTACAATAGCTGATAACTAGTCTTGCTTGTCAGGGCTGCACTCTAGTGCTGAACACAAGAACTGATGTGGTTACATTATCATCCAAATTAAGCTCTGCAAGGCCAACGCACAACACCAGTGATTCATGGATTAGTCCGATGACGATCGGTCTGGTGGGGCCTGATAAATGATAAAAGCACGTTTCCTTTCAGTGGACTATTTTCTGTGTAAGCGTTCCTTCTAGATCCTTCAACGTGATCGTCATGGTCCTGAGTCTGAGGACTCGGTGTTTTGTGTTTCTTTATATTCTTCTATATTCTTGTTTATTCTGCCTGTGTTCCCTCTGTCTGTCCATGGTGTCACTGTGTCTGCTCATGAGTCTGCCTGCCAAGTTCAGTGTCCGTTCTGGTTCTCTGTGTCTGTTAGTTTCCTGTTTTATTCTGAAAGTTCATGTCTCATGTCAATGTGTTCAGTTTTACCTTTCTCCTGTCTTGTTAGCCTAATTTCTCCCAGCTGTGTCTCCCTCCTGTTGCCCATTCCCTGATTACTCCCCTGTGTATTTAAGCCCTGTGTTTTCCTGTGCTCCCTGTTGCGTCGTACCCGCAACTTGCTGTGTGTTCATGATTTCCAGTCCTCCTGCACCTCAGTTTAGAGTTTTGTTTGCTTTTGTGAGTTTTATTTTGTGTTGAAGTTTTGTTCCAGCAATAAAGCTGCATTTTCAGTTGAAACCTCGTTTCCTAAGAGTCCTGCATTTTGGGTCCACCACTCCTGCCTGCCTGCCACACAGCCAACCATGACAATGAGTGCGCATGGCTTTATCAAATCAGTTTTTAAGTGTACAAAATACTACAGCCCTATCAAAAGTGAAGTAAAATATACTATTTATATTAAAACATATGAGTGTGCATATTCAGTATGTTTTTCAGCATCAGGCCAACAGTTGCAGATTGCTTACATAGATCCACATCAGTGTGTTTGCTGTGCATACGAGCAGGTCTGTGTCTGCTGCAGTCTTTTCATGCTCCGGGGAAAGAATGGACTTATTATGTAACCAAAAACTTGGTCGTTTGAACAGGAGTTTGTCTTTTTGGACCATTCACTTTGTTTTCAAATATTTAGATCAGGTATCAGAACGACTCAGATTTGGGGGAAAAACATGGGATTAAAATATTTCACTAAGAATTCCTTCCACCTCGTGACATCCTCAGGTGAAGTCAGCAGCACTCCACACACACTATACACAGTGTGGGTAGAGCACCACCTTCCCCTATTAAGTTGCTTGACACTTTACCAGAATCCCTTCGAGGCGGTTTGAAAGGGGTTTTCCATGGCCTCTCCAAACTCCTCCCACACCCGAGTTTCTAATTCAGTCGCTGGCCAAGACACATTCTGCTTGGCCTGCCCGTACCTATTGGCTGCTTCCAAAATCCCACGGGCTAAGCCCAAGAGGACTCCTCCTTCAGCCTGATGGCTCCTTGTAACCACGGTACCTGCCGTGGTGGTGACCCCACCACCAACAAACCACCTTTCTTTACCTGGAGAGGGCACTTTACCCTTAACTGACCAAGAACCTCGGCGGCTTCGCACTCTGCTGCTGATCACCCCAGTGCAAGCTCGACGTTATTGTAGTTTTGGTAGCTTCATCAGACATGATGAGTTGATTTTGGCTGTACAAATAATGAACAGAGTTGGTGAAATAGGAAAACCTTGGTGAAGTCCCACACCTACCAACAATGATTTTGACGGTTGTACAAGGAGCAGTGAGCTAAATATCCCACACTCCCAAAGCAAACCGAATGCTGTAAAATTCAGTTAAATGGGCTGATTTTTGATTGATTCATTTCAATTTCAAATAGTTAAAGTGCTGTGCAAAGGTCTTGAGCCACCTCTCAGGTCAAATGTAAGGATAGGTTATAAGGCTTTTTGTCAATTTAAACCAATAATTAGACCTGAGCATCCTGTTTACAGACAGAAGTTATTTTCAGATGAAGCACTAATTTCACACTTAGTGTTGTCACTGCACAGATCACCTGCTGGAAGTGAAAGCTTGGAAAGAAAAACACAATATGTGACTAAGAACTGTGTTTTTGCCATAACTAAGGCTTATGGGTGTACAGGCATTGAGCAGAGTACCGTGTGACCTCAGCATTTTCCCTGCGTAGTGAATGAGAGTGCAGTGCATGCTGGAATAACAGGAACTCTGCTTTCACGCCTATGTTTGAAAATGTTAGCTGCAGACAGCGTTTGTTTCTGTTGTTTCTGCTCGTCTAACAAAATCCTGCACTCCCACATCGGGCCGTAAAGTGCCAAGAAGTTGATGAACTGCCCTCAGGATGAATGTTATTAAATGCAGAATTGACATTTGTTTGTATTTACTTATTTACAGATCCTTTCCACTGTCAGTCAAAACTGGAAGGACTATGACAGATAGACCCATCTGCCAGTTTGGAGTGAGCCAGCTGGGAAGATAGAACATTTGTGACTTCTACATCTCCATCACAAAGATGAGGAATATTATCCTGGGCATTGTTTGTCTCTGTATTTGCCTGACCCTTGATGATGCACTGGCTTTAAATGGACGGAGGACACACATAGCAGATGGAGAGGGAATAGAAGCAGCCATCAGAGGAGAGAAGTTGCTGAAACGAGTGAGGCGAGGCTGGATGTGGAACCAGTTTTTCCTGCAGGAGGAGTATACAGGCTCTGACTACCAGTATATTGGCAAGGTAAGATCTGTGCTTCCGTTAAGGTACACTCAGGATGACATATTCCCAAATTAAATGAAATTCTCTTAATTAGCAGAAAGCATAATGATTTACCACAGCTGATCACAGTGCAGTATCAGGGATACTGTACCAACTGTGTTGTTTCTTATTGTTGTTCTGGGTTCTCAATAATGACACTGTTACTTGAAGAGAAGGTATTTTATCGAACTGTAGTTCACATGTGTCACCTCGCCTCTGTCGGTACGTCTTCCTTTTTTAAAACAATAACATTAAATAACATAGCTACTTTCACAAACCTAAACAGTCTCTTGTTTTTCTTACTTGTTAAACCAGGATTTGTCAATTTAATGTTAACAGCACAACTAGTTTTCAACAATCATGGTCAGTTCAACACTAGTAACCAAACATAGTGAAACTTACATAGATACTATGACATCATCTTCCAAACAGCATGCCAACACATTACATCTGGTCGATCATAGGTGGCTTCACTTGTCTTACAGATCTTCTCAGTGTTTGTTCTTGTGTATGCATAGGTGTTTCAGGTGATAGTGTCTCATGTGTGTGTTGGGGTTGTTCAGCAGCCTCCAACCTCTGCTCCACTACTACTGGTCCCTTAAGAAGATCTCGGCGATTTCTTCTCAGCATAGCTCCATCTTCTGTCTGAATGATGTATGATCGTGGTTGATCTTCCTTTAGAACTGTCGCTTTCTGTGCCATGTGTTGGATTTGTCTTTGAGTCTCACTTGATCCCCAGCATGCAGTTCAGGTAAGTTCTTAGTTCCTCTGTCATAATAGAACTTCTGCTTTGCTTTCTGTTGCTCCTTGAACTTCTTCACGCTGTTTCCCTCCTTTGTTTTAAGCAGATTATCCTGAATGGGCAGGTTTGATCTCAGGCGTCGTCCCATAAGAAGCTGTGCTGGTGACATACCACACTCAAGTGGCGTTGTGTTGTATACTAGCAGGCTTTTGTCTGTGAACACTTCACTTGACACACCATGTCGTGCAAATACGGCTTTCATCGAAGTGATTACAGCCTCTGCTGTTGTCGTTTGCAGTCTACATACTTGTGGATACAAAGAGTAGCAGTCTGTGACCATAATATAGTCCTTTCCTCCAGACACAAAGAGGTCAGCCCCCACTTTCTGATATGGTCGGTCTGGCACTGGGTGTGGCTTTAGTGGCTCGGCAGGATTTCTTGCTTGATATGTCAGACATGTTGAACAGTTCGACACTTCATTTGTCACATCCTGATTAATCCGTGGCCAGTACATCACCTCACGTGCTCTCCTTTTACATTTTTCCATGCCTAGATGCCCTGCGTGTATCTTTTTGAGCATCTCTCCTCGCAGGCTCTTTGGGATGACAATTTTACTTCCCTTGAACATCACATCATCCACTACAGACAGTTCTGCTCTGCAGTTCCAATACTCTTGAATAACAGGTGAGCAGTGTTGCTTACAGCTGGGACATCCATCTATGATGGTTTTGCGCAGTGCTTGTAATGATCCATCTTTGCTTGTCTCCGTTCTGATGAGCTCCATCTTCCCTTCTGCAACAGGAAGTGCACTTGCGACCATGCTCACATATGCTCTTGCATCATCCATCTTGGTGTTTGCTGGCTCATTCGGATCAACAGCTCGGGATAATGTGTCAGCTGTGTACATCAGCTTGCCAGGTGTGTACATCACGTTAAGCGTGTAACGTTGCAGCCGGATCATCATTTTTTGGATTCTCAGCGGACAGTCATTTAGTGGTTTTTGGAACAATGCTATCAGTGGCTTGTGGTCAGTTTCAACGCTGATGGCCTGCCCAGACACAAACTGGTGAAATCTCTCACAGGCGTATGTTATGCTGAGCAATCTGTGCATATCTTGTCTTTGCGTCTGTCATGGATCGCGATGCATATGCAACAGGCTGCCACTCATCATACTTCTGCAGAAGAACAGCTCCAAGCCCACTCTGTGATGCATCTGATGAGATCTTAATAGGTCTCATTGGATCATAAAACTTCAGAACTGGTTCTTTTGTAAGCCGCTTTTTCAAGGCACGCCATGCTTTCTCGTGTTCATGATTCCACTCCCATTCGATTCTCCTTTCAGTTAGCTGTCTCAGTTTCTGAGAGATTGGGTACGAATTTTCCCATGTAGTTTATCATGCCATTAAATCTCTGCACATCTTTCTTGCATTGCGGCCTCTGCATGTTTTCAATTGCAGACACCTTTTGAGGATCTGATCTGATGCCTTCACTGCTCAGGATATCTCCAACGAATGTCAGTTCCTTCGCCCCAAGCTGACATTTCTCTTTGTTCAGCTTCAGATTGGCTTTTCTGGTTGCTTCAAGAATATTTCTCAGTCTCATGTCATGTTCAGCTTTTGTGCTTCCCCACACAATGATGTCATCCATCGACGCGTCGACTCCTTCTAGGTGCTTATAGATCATGTGTATTGTCTTGTGATACACCTCAGGTGCTGAAGCAATGCCGAATGGCAGTCGCCGTAATCTGTTGCTGCCAAATGGGCTGTTGAACGTGCACAGTTTTGAACTTGCTTTGTCCAGCTTCAGTTGCCAAAATCCTGATGAAGTGTCTAGTTATTTGTCTGGTTATTTTTGTTACAGTTATTGCATCTCTTCCCATATGCTGGACATTTTTTAGGAGGATGTTGCAGTCCGCAGTGACCACAAGTCTTTTCTTTTCTGTCCCTGTTTGCTGGCTTTAATTGCATTTTTATTTCAGCAGCAGCACTCTCCTTATTGACTCTGTGTGTGTTCTTATTGACAGCATCCACTCTGCAGCTGTCACTAAGCAGTTCTTTAGCTTGTGCCCTCACTGTTTCAGCTGCTCTGCACAGTGTTAATGCTTTTTCCAGGTCAAGATTTTCCTCTCTCAGTAGCCTCTCTCTCAGACCGTTGTCTGGAGTCCCGCACACAAGTCTGTGTTTTATCAAAGAGTCTGTCAGTCCTCCAAATTCGCATGTTTTACTCCTGTTCTGCATCTCTGTGACATACTGATCTATTGTCTCCCCTGTCTTCTGTACACATGTGAAGAATCTGTGCCTCTCAAATGTCACATTTCGAGCAGATCCCTCAGTTCTGCTATATTTTAGTCCGCTACCTTTCTTCAAGTCCATCTTCTGACACCATGTCTTGTTTCTTTATGTTGTTGTGGGTTCTCAATAATGACACCGTTACTTGAAGAGAAGGTATTTTATCGAACTGTGGTTCACATATAAACAAACTTCACATCACAGTCCGCTCAGAGGTAACTCACTCTAGCTCTCTAGCTCCCCCTATAGTCTGGGTGTATTAACAACATAAAACCTGATACTAAGCAAATATGGATTTGCTGTTATCATTACGCCAACAGCTTTCATTTAAAATGTACTCACAGACTGACGATTGTTGGGCTCAGTTTCCAACTACATGGAATCTGTGCAAGGAAGTTTTAGTTTTAGTGAAGGGAGATTGGTGAAACTGAAGGCCTGTCTGGCGTTTGGTTGTGCTGTCCCTGGCGTTGCCTGTCGCGCCCCTTTTCCCTGGCATCTTCGTAGGCCGTCCTATGAGTGTCTGGTGCCGCTCGCTGGCTCTGGGCTGTTCCCGCCCGGCCGCTCCCTGCCTCCCTGTCCACGGCGGCGCGGAGTGAGTATGCAAAACCTGCGTTACGTTGCGCGAGCTTCAAAGTCTAGTGACTATTCAACTCCGGCCAAATTTGGCCTGGTAAACGCCAGATCGGTATCGAATAAGACTTTTATCCAATATTTTATCCAATATTTTTTGTCACACTACTTGGACTTTCTCTGCTTAACTGAGACGCGGATAACTGTTGCTGATTCCAGCGCCTTTGCAGAACTTTTGCCTTCGGACTGCTGCTATTTTAATGTCCCACGCAGATCTGGTCGAGGTGGAGGAGTAGCTACTATCTTCAGAGATCGCTACAAGTGCAAGCAGGTTTCATTGGAATTTTATTTTTCCAGTTTTGAACTGTTACTGTTTGAAATAGCCTGTTCTCCCCCTGTACCGTGCACAATAATATACAGGGCCCCAAAATACAGTAAAGACTTTATAAAGGAATTTGCTGCATTTCTAACTGAAGTCACGATAAAATATGACTCCTTTCTTATTGTCGGGGATTTCAATATTCATGTGTGCTGTCCAGATAAGCCCATGGTTAAAGACTTTTTGAATCTTACTGATTCTTTTAGTTTACCGTATTTCCCGGACTACAAAGCGCACCTGAATATTAGCCGCACAAGCTAAAATCAGGGGAAAATCCTGTTTTGTACATACATTAGCCGCACCTGACCAAAAGCCGCAGGTGTTTCAATGTTGACTTATCATATGTAAGAGAATATGCACAAAGGGAATTGTCAGGAAAGAGATGGCTGTTTGGAGACATCACTTTTATTAATATTTTGAAAAACAAGTTATGGGTACATATTTGCACATGTAGTACATAACAATAGCCTACAGCACACCAGAACAATAGATCCGGACTACCTTTTAGGCTCAGGTGCAGCGACACGGCTTTAACAAGAAGAAAAGTCAGTCATTCACCATCTTTCTCTTCTTCCTGCCCACTGAAACCACCAAAGTCCTCTTCTCCAGTGTCGGATACAAACAGGCTCAGGATGGCTTCGTCATCCACTCTCAGCTTCTCTCCTTCGTTGTCACTTTCAAAACCAAAGAAATCCTCGTTGTCAGTGTCAGAGTCGAACACCCTCTGAAGGGCCGTGGCGGTGTCCTCCTCTCCATCATGCAGCAGTCCAGCCCTTCAAAATCCGTTGGTGATCGTGGATGTTTTCACACTTTTCCACGCTGTCAGAATCCACCGGTGGAGTTGAGCATAACTTGCTTTTCGCAAGTTTATCGCCGCTCATCATCCACGCTTCCCGCTGAACGCGTACCGCTACTTTGAAGTTTGTTTTTCGAGCTACTTCGTACGGCACTACGTTGCCTGGCGGACGGACATGTGACTAACATACCACTCTTGAACCCCGAT